TACTATTATGACACCTGCACCTCTACTGATTTCCCGGTGTCGAGTGGTTACGACCGATTCTGTGTTTGACCTGCGTGGTTACGAACCCAGTGGTTTCGACCTACTTATATAAATATATGTACATACATACAGGTAAATAGAGGGGTTCAGGCTATAAGGTAAAGGCCCATTCACATGGATACGCTATAATCCCTATTAACTGCTCCGGGCGCTTAGAAAATTGCAAAAAGGAAGCTCTTATTTTGGTATTCTCTTTATGATACAGTGCAGTCGCCAATTCCGGGTCGTCTCCAATTCCGTTTCACTCATTGTATTTTATGTAAAATCTAACCGCAAAAAAATTAATAAATACGCTGGTCATGAAGAACTGGTCTTTCTGTATGTAATTAATTAAAAAAATTTGAATATCAACTTTAAGAGTGCATCCGTTAATCGAAATTCTCAAATGCACGCATTTAAAACTTGTTTCTGCTGCGGTGACAGGCTACTTTCGTTTTTGTTCGCTGCAGAAAGGCTGATATAAAAGCTCTAGATAAATAATAAGAGCTCGAAAATATGGTAAATGCATTTAGTTTTATCTCAGGAATCAATCATAATGATCACTGCTCAAATAAAACTATAATGATTATTAAATCAAACTGTGGTAGTTTCTCCAATTGCGGGTCACGTAATCTCGTGGCATGAAAATGTCAAAATTCTATGTTCAAAACTAATCATGCTAATAGACAACCATGTATTTACCTTGATTATCAAAAGTACATGTATTCTAACTGGAAAATATTTTTTTCTAAAAATTAAAATCGAGTTAACCCTTCAAATGCATTTTTTAAATAAATGAATTTAATTGTATTATTTTTAATCCTAATACATTTTTTTTAATTCAGCATTCCGCATTTTGTTTTGTTGTAATATATTGTTTTAAAAATAATTTAAACATATTTCTGTGGTTGTTTTACTTTTTTTTCCAAGCTGCATGAATTGTTTTAAGAAGAAAACACTTGCTGTGGCCTTCAACTTGACATTTAGATATATCGACGACATATTGTCAATTAATAATGATAATTTCCATTCCTACGTCAATACGATATATCCTGGTGACTTGAGATAAAAGATACCACAGAGTCCGACACTTCTGCTTCATACTTGGATATTTTACTTGAAAAAGACACAAATGGTAATCTAACAACCAAGCTATATGATAAACGTGATGACTTTAAGGATTTCAATCCCTAATGGGACCAAATTCTCTACCCTTAAATGTCCGTCAAGTACACAATACTCTGATATAATATTAAAGCATTTTATAGTGGAAAAGGATTGCCCACGAGAAATTTTCAAAAAATTCATTAATTAAGCAGTAGTTAATTAACAAAGATTGCATTGAAGTCTATGGGGAAAAGCGTTTTTTCAAAATAAAAATTCAAATAAATTGAATATCAATAAATCCTGTGGTGGAAAGATGCATTGAAATATTAAAAATAGAATGATAATTAAAAACAATTTTTTTACCAGCTAAATTTTTTTAAATTGATTTTTTTTATTAATTAAAAATGGGGAGATAACTCTTACCAAAATTCAAGGTCATGAATTAGGACACATCCCACTAAACATACTTACAGTAATAAATGGGAAGTATGTCTAAATAAACTGAGTATTCAATGCCTACATATCGGTTATGTTTTCAATTTCATTGAATTTCATCCTATTAGGGATTGAAGACCTTAACTTTTCTATTGTCAACTTCCCTTACTTATGCAGCAATATACCTTCATCACCTGCATACGGAGTATATATATCTCAATTGATTCGATACGCAATAGCATGCTCTACGTATGAGCAATTTCTTAAACGAGGTAAATTATTGACAAGCAAGTTGATGAAACAAGAATATCAGCAGTCTCGTTTAAAGTCATCATTTCGTAAGTTCTATGGTCGATACAATGACCTTGTCAGCAAATACAATTTATCATTGAGTCAAATGCTGACTGACGTTTTTCATACCAATTGTTAGTCCATTATTTATGTATACACTGAATTGACGACAGATTTTTTCCGTTATTTCCTGATCATGACAACGAGCACATGGCGGGTGTGACCGGTCGGCAGGGGATGCTCACTCCTCCATGGCACCTGATCCCACCTCTGATGTTTCGGAGGTCCATGTTTGCTCTGCTCTTATTTTATTAGGTCACCTGAATAAACTCAGGTGACCTATTGCTAACCGTTTTCATCCGTCGTCGTGCGTGGTCCATCGTGTGTTAACATTTGAACATTTTTAGCTTCTTCTCTGCAACCACTGAACCAATTTCAAGCAAATTTGGCACAAAGCATCTATGGGTGAAGGGGAACAATAATTGTGAATTTCATGATCCCTGGCGCCTGAGAGGTGGGGCCAAAACCACTAAAATTAATTAATGCAATCTTTAAAAATCCTCTTCTTTACTCCTGGTCATCAAGCAGTCAAAACGTTTGCATGATTGTAATCAGCATTGAGTCTTCTACCAAAATTGTGAAATTCATGGCCCTGGGGTCAGGGGTTCTAGTGCTAGGGTGGGGCTAAATAAGTACATAGTGAAAATACATGAATTCTTTCAAAATCTTCTTCTCTGCTACTGGGTATTAAATAAACCAACTAAGTACAGAGTTATGATGAGCAAGAGTGCCTCTATCAAAATTGTGAATTTTATGGGCCCAGGGTCAGGGGTTCTGGCATTAGGGCGGGGCTCTATAGATTATATAGTGAAAATACATGAATTCTTTGAAAACTTTCTTCTCTGCTCCTAGGTGTTAATTAAACTACCTATGTACATAGTTATGATGAGCAGGAATGCCTCTTCCAGAACTGTGAATTTTATGGCCCCAGGGTCAGGGGTTATGATGTAAGGTTGGGGCTCTATTGATTATATAGTGAAAATACATGAATTCTTTGAAAATCTTCTTCTCTGCTCCTAGGTATTGAATAAACTAACTAAGTGTATAGTTATGATGAGCAAGAGTGCCTCTACTAAAATTGTGAATTTTATGGGCCCAGGGTCAGGGGTTCTGGTGTTAGGGCGGGGCTCTATATATTATATAATGAAAATGCATTTATTCTTTGAAAATCTTCTTCTCTGCTCCTAGGCATTAGATAAACTAACTTAGTGTATAGCTGTGATGAGCAAGAGTGCTTCTACTAAAATTGTGAATTTTATGGCCCCAGGATCAGGGGTTCTGGTGTTAGGGCGGGGCTCTATATATATTATATAGTGAAAATACATGAATTCTTTGAAAACTTTCTTCTCTGCTCCTAGGTGTTAATTAAACTACCTAAATACATAGTTATGATGAGCAGGAATGCCTCTTCCAAAACTGTGAATTTTATGGCCCCAGGGTCAGGGGTTATGGTTTAAGGTTGGGGCTCTATTGATTATATGAGCCTCGACGGATAGAAATCGACCTTATTGTATGCAACGTCATAATGAGAAAAAAGCAAATAAAGTTAAGAAAGATTTCCCGGCATTTTTTTTTTACACGTGGATTTCTCTTTCTGCGTATATTATACATGATTCAGCCTCATCAGAACAGCATCAAAAGCTTAAAAATAATTTTCAGAGTAATGTACAAATTTTAAAAATATATTTTTCCTTCACAGAGCCCCGCACATTTAAATTGTTACCATGGCTTAGTGTAAACTTTACCGATATGAATGCCGAGTCCGATTTATTTACAAAACAGCAGAAGACACCAAAGAATGCATGAAAAAGAGGTAAGAAAACATTTTACAAGTAGCCTAATGAAAAGTGAAAGTTAACTCTTAAGAAATATTACACCTTTGTCTTATACATGTTATATTGGTAGTTTAATTAAATGAATATAAATCTGTCAGGTGCCGTCAGATTTAAGATGATCGAACTTGTGAAGTTGTGTATAACGTCGACGGCGTGAGTTTCACGTCAGCTGTGTACATCAGACAAGATTAGATTTAGAACAAATACTATAATTTATTGCTTTCATGGTTCAAAATAACATGAAGCAATATAAAAGAATTTAATAAAAACAAAAAAAAAGAAGAAGAAGAAGAAGAAAGTGATTACGCATAATGAAATAAATAAATCTTGAAAACCAAAACTACCGACACGATTTACAGATCGGCTTAATATCTGATATTGTCCCTGTCCTTCCTAGTACTGTTTATAAAAAACTGACCAAGATAATGACACCTTTAATTAAAGCGATTTCATATTTCGCTTTGAGCGTTAGCCTACTTGCCTATTTAAATTGAACATACGTGTACGACACTCGGCAAACCTCGGCCGATTCGTACCTATCGACTGAATACGATAATGCACGAGTTGCTTCCCATTGACAGAAAAAGAGGCTCAAAGCGGGGGAATCATTAAAATAATTAATGGAATATTTTACTTAATCATGTTCACCGTTTCCCATATAAACTGGTAGTTATAGAGTTCGTAGTACAAGTACGGAATTATGCAGGCGATTTTAAACATTTTTTTTTTTTAATTTTCTCAGTGATTATTCAGCATAGCAGATTGTGCGCTCTGAATAAACGAAGACACACAGTGATCTTGATCCCTTTCAACATAAGACGCCCCCCCCTCCCCCTGAAATTTGAAAATGTGTATTGAAATATTATAACCCCCTTTTGCAGGGTTGTCAAACCTTTCCATGTTTTGAGCATGCAAATATATGTGCATACTTGGAATATCGAAATTCCGTATTTGCTAAAATATATTTTTATAATATTTGATAATTGTTTATAAAGTTTGCCTTAGTTTTATTTAACGTAAAGTATATATCATACCTATCAACTTTGTAGATTTATATAATTGTAACTTCCTTCCATGTCATTTATGAGTTTGGGGCCCAAAAACACGAAAAAATATTAAATTTTCAGAAGAATAAAAAACAAACGACTCATTACAGAAATAAAAACTTAAATAAAGAAAAGAAACCAAAACATGAAGAAACAACAAAATAAATGAAAAGAAAAAAAATTAAGCATGAAAGGTCTAATTCGGTGAGTCTAAAGGGAAATTCCTTGACCCCCCTCTCCCGGACTTGATGCATAACATAACCAACCCTGTTGAACTGGGCGTTCCATAAAAGTAATTCAATTGAAATAAATACACTGTAGCAATAATCTATATACTTAAAGTTTGTATCTGTTTTATACTGTCTATATGCATTCTGCGTTCCTTTCTAGTTTCTACCTCAGTGAGTTCGACTAAAATAATAATAAATAATAATAATAATAAAATATTAATTGATATCTTTATAGGAGAGAAACAAATGAAGATGTATCAAATCTGAATCAATTATTATTATTATTTTTTTTTTTTGCTTGTGCTGATTTATATTTATCTACATATTTATACCGGTATTTAATTTATCCTTTTAGTGTAAGTGATGGATATTGAAGTAGAACAACTTGATAAAGAGGCTGCTGATTTTTTAGCCGGGCTTATTGCTCAAAGAGCAATTGCCGGCTTATGTGATCCTGTTCAACGCAGGATGTTGACCCCATAGTCGACATTTTAAAGTTACGTGCAAAAATATAGTTCTTACTCTCAACCGCTTTTGAGATAATACAAACGCTAAATAAAGCAACAAAAATTAAACGAAGTTTTATCTATAAAAAATAAACATTAGTAGTAATAACTTTGAAAACTTCATAAGTCAAAGAACATAGTTCATTAGCGTAAGGATTTTTGATAATCAGTGTTACCGTAGTTCTCTACACATACGAGGCAGGAGAGGGAACCAGACTGGCCTGTTTGTTTACATTCAGCTGCGGTGCCAGACTAATTCTGATTCTGACAAAATCGGACCGTGGTATTAGGATTGAAAAACTCTCTGTCAGTGTCTTATTATTTATATTGATAGTTTTAAAATAATTTTTTCATCAGAATATAAACGTGATTCATGTAAGAAATCCATTCTACTCTGTAAATGAGCCCGGCTCTCTGTACTTCTGAATACTTTGATTTCAAGAGTACATTCCACGATCTCCAACTCCTCCACTGGCAATAAACACGAATGACTCAGACAGCGATGAAAACGATGCTGAAGTGGATGAGGCGAATATCAGGAACAGAGTAACTGAATTTTTTGCCGAACCATCTGTCCCATCAGGTCAGAATGATGATGTGGATCATGAGAGGGTATATGTAGACAAATTATTTGAAAGTGAATGTGGCTACATTAAGAACTGTTTTCGACATATATTTTCTTACAAAGAGCATGCATATCAGCTTCTGTTAAGACTACACGAGTTCACTAAAAGTGAAAGGGACATATATATCCTGTCTAAACTCGAAGATCAATTGGTTCAAACGGACGGATCTGTCGGCTCCAAAGGAAGCAAACGTGAACGTCAACGGTTCCGTTACAGCTTTCAAGTAGTAGAAATTTGTGAATGCGCTTGGCGATCTATTTTCGAAATTGGACGCGCGGAGTATAAAAGTTTGAAGAAACATTTCAAAGATAACGGCACCATCCCACGAGTTCATGGATTGACTGGCAAGAAATCAAACCATGGTTATCCATTTTATGTGATTGAAGCAGCAGTCCTGTTTATCAAGAGATACGCAGACCAGTATGGATTGCCATTACCTGCTGCCCCACGAGCACGCGATGACACACCACCTGTGCTCCTGCCTTGTAATGAGAGCAAAGCAACGGTTCATGCGAAGTACAAAGATGCATGTCTTGAATCTAGTAGCCCGTCCGTCAAGCTAACCACATTCAAAGAGGCATGGAATTCATGTGTGCCTTATATACAGTTCATGAAACCCAAAACAGACTTGTGCAAGACCTGCCATGATCTCCGCGAAGACATAACGGGGGCATATGACGAGAAGACAAAGTTAAAACTTACAAAGCGACTGACTGATCATCTTGATCAAGCTAAACAAGAGAGAGAATTCTACAAAGAATGTACTGCTAATGCAAGAGAGGAGCTAAAGGATGCCGAGAAGCCCCATGGGAAATATCTGCAGTCATGTTCTGTACCTTACGAGAATGTACATTATACATTCGATTTTTCGCAGTATGTGACCATCCCCCATTCTTCACAACAAGTCGGACCACTGTTTTTTCTACAGCCCAGAAAGGTTCAGATCTTTGGTGTATGTGATGAAAACTTCCCTCTCCAAACCAACTATCTCATAGATGAAAATGAAACTATTGGTGAAAATGGAAGTAAAACTCATGGTCCTAATGCTGTATTGAGCATTTTGCATCATTACTTCGATGCAAACAGCTACGGCGAAGCAGTCTGCCATCTCCACGCTGATAATTGCGTCGGACAAAACAAAAATAAAACAACTTTACACTACCTTGCTTGGCGATGCTTAAGCGGACTCCACAGAAAAATCTATTTACACTTTATGATTGCTGGTCATACAAAGTGCTTATGTGACTCATGCTTTGGCATGCTCAAGAAGTATTATCGAAGAGCAGAAGTAAACAGCATTGGGCAATTGGAACAAGTTGTAGAAAAATCTGCAAAAAGCAATACGACAGCCAGATGTGGAGACTTCCAGTGGTTCAGATGGGACGCCTTCTTCAGTACGTACTGTAAACCGGTTAAAGGGATCGGGAAATATCACCATTTCATGTTCACCAATGAGGAACCAGGCGTAGTGTACGCAAGGCAAACGCTTGATTCGTTTGAAGTCAAAATTCAGCTTTTGAAAGAAAAGGTTGACATAGATAAACTACGCAAGGAATTTCCAGACGTTATTTTGCCTGGAGGGCTTTCAAACGACAGAGTGCGCTATCTCTTTCGTGAGATTAGGTCTTACGTTATATCATATACCTAGTAGTGTATCAGCCCTGATACAGGCGTTTTTGACTTGGCGAGACAGCGCCTCGGAAGTAGGGCTGTCTCGCCCTCAGGGCTGAGATATCTCTGTCTCGGCCCGTCGTCAAGGGGCTGTCTCGCCCTCAAATTTCAAATAATTATTTCTGTTTAATTTGTGTGAATTAAGAGTAAAATTCATATTTAAGTATTAAAGAGAAACATTATATATTGAAAAATTAAACCAGAATTTTTAAAAAATTCTTATTCATATTAGAATTTTGACAAAATTGTTTTTAAAAAGTGCGCCAAATGATAGCACTTGTGACGTAAGAGAGGTAACTCTTGTTTACTTCTAGGACAGCTGCTCGACAGCAACAAGTAATGTTTTGAAAAAAAAAAAATGGACGTTTATTTGCTTTGACAGTAAGACAACATCAAGTTTTCATTTATTGTGCTATTTTTCATTAAATATATATTGTAAACAAAACAAATATAGTTACTATAAATCTCAGGTTTACAAATTGTAACGATTCGTTTACGAAGTTATAACCCCGGTTCGATCCAAAGTGAAAGTAGAATATTTTTAAGTTTGGGAACTTTTAAATCTTTGTTATCTAATGTTCTTCGAAATGATATTCTTCAAAACGCCAGGACTATTCTTTTTAATGACCAGACCAGGCAAATCTATCTCTATTTGATTATTCACCGTCAAGCAACATCTCCAGGAACATCGAAATAAAAAAAAGATAACTCTACAATATTTTGTAATGACAAAATTATATAAATTTGATGCTAAAAATATCAAAACATTTCCTCTTTCCTTTGGTTTTAGATATATGATATAAACAACATCACACCACTGTTTTGATCTCGTCCCTGGTATCAGCCCTCGGGTGGTCTCGGCCCGCGCCCTCCGGGCTTGGGCCGATACCAACCGCTCGGGCTGATACCAGGGCCGAGATCAAAACAGCAGTGTGATATTCTATATAAAGCGCCCTACAAAGATGCAACGTGCCCTGCACCTGACGAAGAGTAAATGACAATGACATGGTTGCTTGTGGTATTATTAATTGTTAAATTGTTGTGTTAAATTATTAATAACAGGTAGAATTGCAATTGGAAAGTTTTGTGACGTCACAATTGATTTAGAATATTCTAATGTGCTATTTTGTTAGCTTTTAAAACATATCATTTTCAATCTGCGATATTTCTGTTGTTTATAGAGATATTTTGATTTGGTTTTCGATATTTATCGTAGTTTTGTATGCTCTATCTAAATGCACAAAAATCTCAAATTCGATAAATTTTGCCATAAGGTCGATTTCTATCCGTCGAGGCTCATATAGTGAAAAGACATGAATTCTTTGAAAATCTTCTTCTCTGCTCCTAGGTATTAAATAAACTAACCAAGTGTATAGTTATGATGAGCAAGAGTGCCTCTACTAAAACTGTGAATTTTATGGGCCCAGGGTCAGGGGTTCTGGTGTTAGGGCGGGGCTCTATTGATTATTATATAGTGAAAATGCATTTATTCTTTTAAAATCTTCTTCTCTGCTCCTAGGCATTAGATAAACTAACTTAGTGTATAGTTGTGATGAGCAAGAGTGCCTCTACTAAAATTGTGAATTTTATGGCCCCAGGATCAGGGGTTCTGGTGTTAGGGCAGGGCTCTACATATTATATAGTGAAAATACATGAATTCTTTGAAAACTTTCTTCTCTGCTCCTAGGTGTTAATTAAACTACCTATATGTACAGTGTACATAGTTATGATGAGCAGGAATGCCTCTTCCAAAACTGTGAATTTTATGGCCCCAGGGCCAGGAGTTATGGTGTAAGGGTGGGGCTCTATATATTATATAGTGAAAATACATGAATTCTTTGAAAGTCTTCTTCTCTGCTCCTAGGTATCAAATAAACTAACTAAGTACATAGTTATGATGAGCAAGAATGCCTCTTTTAAAATTCTGAATTTTATGGCCCCAGGGTCAGGGGTTCTGGTGTTAGGGCGGGGCTCTATTGATTATATAGTGAAAATACATTAAATCTTTGAAAACTTTCCTCTCTGTCTCTGGGTATGAGGCAGATGAACTACCTATATAGTTATGCTGAGCAAGGGCCCTAATCTTGCAGAATTGTGAATTTCAAGGCTTCAGGGTCATTGTTACCATAGAGGGGGGGCTGTACTTATATACTGAAAATGAATGAATTGTTTGAAATCTGCGCCTTGGTATTAATCAAATATTTTTGAAAAGCAAGGATGCCTTTTCAAAAATTGTGCAGTGTGTGGATCTAGGCCTAAGGGTTAGGGGTTCATGTGTGGTAAGGCCTAGAAAAAAAATATGTTTGTTTCTGCTTTCAGGGTGAAAAAATATAGGGTCGGTAGGTAGGCAAATTTTTTTTTTTTAATTTTTTTTGCGTCTTTAATCAAAAAATCAAAACATGTATAGAATTAACATTAATGACAAAAGAAATTGTGTTTTTAAGCATTTCTGTGACTTAAACTTATAATAGAAAGGTGATCCAAAATTCTTTCGGTCTTGAAAAGCTTGCAAAGTTGGAGACTTTAATTCCCTGGATAAAATCTTGCACATCATGGGATAAAAGCATTAAAAAAATATATAGGGTCGGCACTATAAATTAGGGTCAGGCGGGAAAGCGGAAACAAACATATTTTTTTTCTAGGCCTTATCTTGTTTCCTGGTACAAAAGATAAATATATCATATTTATAAATAATTATTTAAATTGATTTAGATCACCATGAGATGTGTTTAAAGCAAAGAATTCCTTTTGGAGATGCATTTGACAAACAGTCAGAAGTTGTTGTTGCTGTTTTATTGACAAATCATCTTCTATCCCGCCTTGTATATGGTAACCGATATCTTATAAGCAATGAGTACAAAGGAGGACCAGTCAAATGTCCATGTCTGAAGCCATTAGATTGTGCATCCCTTATATATTACGGACAAACAGGACTTGGTAAGTATTTGTGCACTGCATTAAACAATGAATATTTACATTTCCAATGTCTTTGTTTGAGATATAATTACAAAAAGTTAATGTACTTCATTATACTTTTGTAAAAATGTTTCCTATATACAGTTCAGAAGGTAAAGTAACTATCCTTTACAGTCTTCGCATAGCAAAGCTATACCCTGGGGTATAATTTTTGTTAATTATACCTCTGTGAATTTGTTCTATATAAAAATACTACAAATAAACATGCTATCTTTTCCTAACAGCCCCTACCGTGAAATAGTTTTTGTGCTATCTGCCCATGGTGAAATAGTCATCAAACTATTCACCAGCAGCATTCTGTTTCCCTTGCTTTTCATCTCGGAAAACTTCTGATTTTATACGGATTGTGACATATACATTATGATGTAACAAAAGTAAAGTCAGCATCAGTGCAATAAAACATCTGTTTACTGACTATTTGGACAATAGCAAGTTTATTGTCCCCCTCGACAGCAAACTATTTCCCTCGGCTGCGCTTCGAGAAATAGTTTGCTGCCTTGTCCTTATAGCCAGTAAATACCGATACGTGTATACTATCCATCCTCAGAAAATTTTCATGCAATTGTTTTCGCAAATTTTGATTTCCAGCGATAAATCTTTAAACTGATGATGTCATAATGACTTCAGTAGCATTGTGACGTCATCAAGATTTCAGATTATTCTTGCAGAATTATCTTACTTCAAAAAAATTCAAACCTCAGAAATTATATTATACATCAGTATAATAAAACGCTTATCCACTGGTTGTGAGTTGGGATAGATCTTTTATCAAACCCTTGACAGGAACTATTCCCTGTCGCGGGTTTGATAAAAGAGCTATCCCACTCACACCCAGTGGATAAATGTTATTTCTCCATCAATGTCCTGTTTCATCGATAGGCGTAGTTAAAAAAAAAATCACGTACAGGGCGGGACAAATAGGGACAAGAAGCAGGGCTTCTTGCACGTGGATAGGCAGAATCAATACCAATCCATGTAAATATCAAGAATAAATGTCAGATTGTCTTATTTCATGACGATGATCAATCGGTTGGCTTGCATAATAATTTTGTGCATAAATGCCTGTGGGGTTTATGCAAATTATCATGCAAGCCAATCAATTTATCACAACATGAAATCAAAAAATAAGACAGTTATTCCTTAATTAGATTTAAATTGATATTTTTGAGTGTCCTATCACATCAGGACACCCATGTAATAGAAAAGAAAGAGATTAATCTAGGTTTTAGGGGAAACTATCCTTTCTGAAGAAATCGGGAAAATGAGTCTGGGGATGATTACAATTGAATTTCATAGAGTAGCAAAGTAAAGCCATATTTCTCATCTATTTATCAATTTTTATATTTTCAGTTTCTATGAAGGAAAAACAATTATTTGAGCCTTTATTATTTTAAGGGGATTTTTTAACTCACCAAATTAGTGATTACACAAGTACAATATTTGCTCTCGCAATATTTTCAGATGTTTTTTGGCGCAATTCCATTGCATGAAGTTGCCTCTCAATTTTAGTTTTCATTGTGACGTCACAATATGTTGTTCATTGTTGAGTTATTAATTGCATTCAAAAAAACACGACTGGTGAAGGCCAGGTGTTCGGCTGAAATATTTCAAAAAGTGTTTGAAAGGTTTTTATTATATAATTATATATAGATAATCCAATAAAAAGTCTCAGTGGTCAGAATTAAATACGTAAAATAAAAATGAAAAACACGAAAAACTTCAGTAAAGCTTTAGGCCTTTCATTCCATCTTCAGAAGCTTTACAAAATGAACAGCTGTTAGTAGTAACATAGTAATGTTACACATTAATTGGCGGAGTGTATGACGTCGTTATTATGAAGTCAAATGTACTATGACATCATAGTTAACAGCTCACTGCGTACAGGTAAAAGTATAGAAAATTTTTAAGATCTCAATAAAGTGCATAATTGAAATACTTAACATCAGATTGTTAAGTTGGTTTTAAAGTACAAATAAAATGTTTTTCTTTTTGGTTTAAAAA